GGGAACACTTCTACACTGTTGGTGGGAGTGTAAACTAGTGCAACCTCTGTGGAAAGCTTTAATGCATTAAAAAAAAAATCAGAATACTAGCTGACTTCATTGTAAAAACTGACAGGTTGATTTTATAATTTATATGGATTTTCAAGGAACCCAGAATAGCCAAAACAACCTTAAAAAAGGAAACCTAAAATTGTAGGGCTCACATTTCTCAATTTCAAAACTTACCACCAAGTTCTAGTAATCAAGACATTGTAGTACTGGCATAAGGATGGACATACATGATAGTCAATGGAATGAAATTTAGAGTTCAGAAATAAACACATATGTATATAATCCACTGAATTCTGAGAAAAGTGTTATGATCATTGAATGGAGAAAAATTAGTCCTTTAAACAACTGGATAGCCACACACAAAAGAATAAAGTTGCCCTTACCTTACACTGTATATAACACAAAATGGATTAAAAAAAACCACCTAAGCATATTCTAAGATCTAAAGTCTGAGAAGAAAATCTTATTTTTTTAAAAAAGTTTTTTATTTTAAAGATGTAGAGTGCAATTCAGGGTTAGGTATACAAATGTTCCTTATGCAGGTGCCCTTGTTGATGAGGTGTGCCCTCCCTGCCCGGGCAGTTTCAAGTGGGAAAATCTCCATGATGTCGGATTGGACAGTAGATTTTCTTTTCTTTTCTTTTTTGCAGTAGATTCTTAGATTTGGTACCCAAAGCACAGGCAATAAAAGAAAAATATCTAAATTGTACATCATCAAAATTAAAAATTTTGTGCTTCAAAGAACACTGTAAAGAAAGTGAAAAGCATCTAAAGATAGAAAAATTTCTGTAGATTACATTTCTGATAAGGGACTAGTATCTGGAATACATAAAGAGTTTCTCCAACTCAGCAGTAAGAAGTAAATTTGGACAAAGGACTAAAATAGATATGAAAACAGCCAATGTTGCTCAATATTATTAACCATGAGGGAAATGCAAATCAAAGCCACAATGAGCAACCACTTCACACCCTCTGGGATGTATATAATAAAATGATGGGAAAACAAAGTGTGGCAAGAATGTAGAGAAAGTGTAACCCTCATACATTTTTAGTGGGAATGTATAATGGTGCAGCTACTGTGAAAAACAGTTTGGCAGTTCTTTAACAAGTGAAACAGAGTTCCCACAGAGCCCAAATCTTCACTCCTGAATATATATTCAAAAGAACTGAAACAGGTGTTCAAATACAAATTCCATTCCATATTCTCTATGCTCAAAACATTGGTTTGATCAGTTTTTGTCTTTCTAAACTCTGTCTCTTGTCTTTCAGAATTTCTAAGGTGACAAATGGCCAGTTAAGTAACTCTTGGTCCCGTGCCCTGGGGAGGAGACCTTTTCCCTTCTGGCTGCCCTGCCCTGTCCTGAAGGCCACCTCCTCTTGTGTGGTCTGCTGGAATTGCAATACCACGTCCATGATTTTGTCTTGTCAATAAAGCTTTTATTTTTACTTTATTTTGAGAGAGAGAGAGAGAGAGAGAGAGAAAGAACAATATAGTACTCTGCATACCGATCAAGAGAAAAAATGAATCGAGGAAATCAAATTTTAAGAGCCTCTTGACATTGTTCACAAAGGGATCTTGTGGGTTGTTGAGGGAATCAATGTTCACTCCAAATGATGTTCCAATAATCACATCCATGCTGTAGGCACCAAAGATGCTGAGTAGAGAAAAACATGGAAAATTAATGCCAGCACCTCATTACCATTTTTCTGCAACACATGCAGCAAAAAGTGTGTGTAAATCCATGTTCCTGAGAAAGACAGGTAAAGAGTCATGCACCTTCAGAACTATCCGTTGGGTCATCTCCCATCACATTCACTCCTGAGGTGGTTACTATGACTATAGAAGGATAGCAGGAAGGAGTGCCATGGCGATGGAACAGTTGTGTATCTTAATTGTACTGGTCATTCTACAAATCTACACATGGGATAAATTTGCATACAATGACACACACACACACACACACACACATACACTTTTGCTAAAAAATGAGGGCACATAAAACAGGAAATCTGATCAGCTCTCTGGGCTGTATCTATGTCAATTTTCTGTTACTACAGTAACAGGAATATACTAAATAGTTATGTAAGATGTCACCAGTGGGGGAAACAGGATAAAGTGGACATTACCTCCCTGTACATTTTTGGGGCAGCTTTCTGTGAGTGTATAATAATTTCAAAATGCTAACTAACTAACTAAATAAATAAATAATAAAAGTTTTCCAATAAATACCTACCCTCCGGTTTGTGAAAACAGAATAAAATTCTTTCACTAACACTGATTTGATCATGTCGGGATCCATGATAGCCAACACAGGCAGTGGACCATGGTACAACCTGTATGTTGGAAAACAGAGGTGATAATAGATCTCAGGAGCCTGATTCATCAGCTGGAGCCACATCCAGGAATCCCAGACTTTGATTCTGACATTTTATAATTCATAGTCTTAATTGTGCAATACTCAGCATACCTGGGTATTTCTATACCATTCTCCATAACTTTTGCATGCTTAAAATATTTCATCAGGTAAGTTATTAGGTCAGTGAACAATGGAAAGCAAGTACATTCTCAAGCACTCCCCAGGACTAAGTGTTTTAAGGGGTAGATGGAGTCGGGCTCACAGAGATCCGGTACTGTGTGTATACTCAGTCGCGTAGACTTTTTGGTCCGTGTTAACTCAGCAGAATCCTGCAGCCAGTGCTGTGGTTTCTGAGGACTTGATGAGAGAAGGCAAAGAGGTATGGGGAGGCAAAGACTTCTCTCACTTGCCTTTAGCATATAAACACCGGTTGACCTCTTCCGCGGCTCTCATCAAAGCTCCAGCCCCTCTGAAAAGGAGCAGCTGCTGCAATTGACTGAGGCCACCCTACAAAATCATAATGCCCTGTTGGGAGCCAACATCTATAGCTACATGGCTGAGGCCTGTAAAGGCCCATCTGGAAGAGCACCTCTGACATAGGATATCAGTTATACCTATAATATTGGCATGTGATTAGTGACCAGTGTGCATACATGGCAGTAAAACTTATAAGTAAATCTCAATACACCTGATGGAAAGGGCATAGCAGAATTATTTCTGTCTTTCTAAGTTTTACTTCTTTCTAGATATTTTTTAACTTCTATTTCCTGGTAGACTGGGTAGTCAGCTCTTGTTCCCGAAAGCTGTTTCCCCTAGGGCTAAGATTAGAAACTAAATTACCATGATAGTTTTGTCGCCCTGCCCCTAGCCAGGCCGAAAGTTTTCTTTTGTTTCATTAATTACCGAAACTCTGTCTGCTTCAGCCCATGGCCGCCATCTTGGCAACCCTGCATTTCCTTGTTCAAGAGTGTGACAGCCACTATTTGATTTTTAGAGTAGACTTGTTAGGATAAAATATATACATATACACTCATAGTTGCGTAAATTTATGCTTGCTATTTTGTTTCCTTTTGCTACATTATTCAAATATAATAATTACTATACGATTTATAAAAGAATTAATGATGAGGTATTAGCTTAATAGGATATAGCATAGTATTAAAGGTCAATCATTAGATTATATAAAAATTAAAGTTTAGACATATGAAACTCATATGAATTATAGTAAAGTTTGGTAGTTTAAGAATAAGTTTTAACTGAGTTATAAGGCATTATGTTAAATCGTAATAGGATAATAGTATAACTAACAGCTAAGTCATTTAACTAAACTTATAGATTATAGTATAGTGTTAAGTTGATAATATTAATTGTTAAAAATATTGGGAATCAGTGAACTTGGATTGAACCTAGAGTTAACTCAGAAAAGTTTTTTGGTATTAATCAGGGTTTAGAACAAAGAGTATAATATGAATGATTTATTGAACACTGTGGAAGATATTTTGAACAATTGAAATTGTGCACCTGTGACCTTGATGTGAGTTTTGTGAAGCACGTCAGACATCATGGAGTTTGAGTTGTCTGCTTGGAACTTGCAAGTCTCGTGATGGTCTTGTGATGCATGGTTTGTAAAGCACGGAACTTGTACGCCCCTAGCAAGTGATTATCACACTGCTGGAGGGTATAGAAAATGGTATATAAGTTGGAAAAGGTTTGAATAAAATCGGCTCCAGTCCTGATCAGACTGTTCCCAGAAGAACTGCCTCCAAGTGGTCTTCTCGCCATCTCCTGATTCTCCGGTGCGGGTCCTAACCCACCCTTGGTCAGTGCTGGTCACCGACAATGCCCATCAGCCCACCAGGGAGCAACAGTGGTTTAAGGATATCCTCCAACTCGTTTGCAAAGTCAGCAGACGGCAGTAGACAAGTAATACTCACCTACCTTTCTGTTGAAAAATCTCAGCTCGAATTTAACATCCAAACAAAACAAAAAACTCCACACTTGCAGATAAGTTTTTTAAAACGGAAGGATACATGGTTTCCCAATCTGTTTATCTCTATCTTCCAGCACTTCTTTTTTTTTTTTTTTTTT